GGAATAAACACAATGCTTTGAGAGCATAAAGGGAGACACATTTAGTTCCTTGTGAAAAAATCAGGGAAGACTTCCTGGAAGAAGTCTTGTTTTCAAGTAGAGATGACAGCAAGTACATAGGCACAGAGGCAAGAAAGAACCTATTAAATCATGGGAAACAAGCAATTTGACATGATGGAAATAAAGAATAGACTGAAAAGTGGTGGAAGAAAACAAACCTTAAAAGGAATGTAGGGGCCAGATTGTGATGGGCTCTGAATGTTTTGCTAAAGATTTACTTAAAGGTACTGAAGACCCAAAGTTTAAGCAGACTCCTGTTTCTTCTTAATGAGTTTATCAAAGAATGTACAATGAGCTGTTTTCTAGAAAAACATTTGCACAGTTAATTGGAAGAGATTGTGCTGTCTTTTTCAGTAATTTCTTGGCATGTCTAAAGGCTCTTATGTATTTGGGTGTGAACAAGGGAGGAAATGGTTGGGGAGCCCTGTCTGAGGCACACGTAGCATACCACCCTTGTGCACAGGCCTCTCTTTGTTTCCAGTCACTCTGTTCTTCAAGGGCCCATCTCCAGGTCATCTGTTTTCATCTTGTCCATGTATTAACAGCCACCACAACAAATAAAAAATATTCAAAACCACAATGCAAAGGAAGCAAAAAGCCCATCAAATAGAACGAACAAATCATAATCATTTGTAGTTTATTCTAAACTTAGTGAGATGGTGGATAGGTTCCGTCTTTTACTTTCACTAATTTTAGTGGTTTCTAGACCTTATCCAGCATTTAACTATATCCCTCCCGTGCAACATGATAAGGTGTAAAGGAGGAGGACACACAAAGGGCAGTGTCTTTTATTTTTATTTTTAAATCCCTTGGCACTCATTAGGAGTTCAATACCCATTTCTTTAGTTTTTGTTCCTTGTGGGGCCCTCAATCAACAATGACTTATTGAAATGTGAAACAGTCTAGCAAAGAAGTTAGTTGAGAAACAATACATTTGCTTCCTAAATTACAACTCTCATTTATTGTTTTCTGTTCTTTTCTGAATTAAAAAAAAATACAGGCGTATGCCCTAGAAAGTGATGTCAAGAATGATTTCCTCGAACTTGCCTGCATGTGTAAGACTGTGGTTTGCTGCAGAGTCACCCCACTCCAGAAAGCCCAAGTAGTAGAACTGGTGAAGAATCACAGAAATGCTGTCACTTTGGCCATTGGCGATGGAGCCAATGATGTCAGCATGATTAAAAGTAAGAGGATATTCACTCAACAGGGCATGCTACATACATGCAGTCCTCAGTTTCGGCATTTGGCAATATATAATAGAGACTGCGTTGAAATTTAATCTCTCCAATGGTTCTAAAATGAATAATAATAATTTCTGGGTCCAATGCTTCCACCATGATTTCCATTCATAACAAGATCTCTTTGTCTTTTTTTTTTTTTTTTCCTTTTTGTCTTTTTTCGTGACCGGCAACGGGATTGCAACCCTCAGTGTTGCGCCCGCACCTCGCTCAGCCAGTGAGCGGGAACCGGTCTGTATGTGGGATCCGAACCCTTGGTGGGAGCGCCGCCGCGCTCTCAAGCAGTGCACTGTAGCAGTGCGCCACCAGGCCGGCCCGAAGATCTCTTTGTCTTTAATTAAATCATTTGTATAATTTCTGGCTAGAAAAGGACATTGGTCTTATACTGTTTGGGGAAGTAAGTAGCTACAATGTAGAGGAAANGAGCGCCGCCGCGCTCCCAAGCGGCGCACTGTAGCAGTGCGCCACCGGGCCGGCCCGAAGATCTCTTTGTCTTTAATTAAATCATTTGTATAATTTCTGCCTAGAAAAGGACATTGGTCTTATACTGTTTGGGGAAGTAAGTAGCTACAATGTAGAGGAAAGAACACTAGACCCATGTTCACAACATGTAGTTTTAACCCCAGCTTTGCCACTTACAAATTGTAAAATCTTGTGCAAATTACTGAACTTTTCTGAGCCCGATTTCCTCTTTCATAAAATTAGGATAAATACTTACCATGAGTACTTTGTGAGATAATATATGTGAAAAATTATAATTGCTATAGCTATAAGTGTTCCATAAAAAACGACATAAAAGAAGTTGCCAGAAGAGGGAGTGTCTTTGTTTTGGGGATGAAAGTGTTCCTCTTTTCCTTTGCAGGTGCTCACATTGGCGTTGGCATCAGCGGCCAGGAAGGACTGCAAGCAGTCTTAGCCAGTGACTTCTCATTTGCACAGTTTAGATATCTCCAAAGGCTTCTCCTTGTTCACGGAAGGTGGTCCTATTTCCGCATGTGCAAATTCTTATGCTACTTCTTCTATAAGAATTTTGCATTTACCCTTGTGCATTTCTGGTTTGGTTTCTTCTGTGGTTTCTCAGCCCAGGTTGGTAAAAAAGCACTTTTCTTTCTTTTATAAGATCCCCTCAATTACTAATGACTCTACTTATAGCTCTTTACTAATAAATAAAGGATATTTTTATATGCCTGATACAAGTGACAATATTACAATTATGTAATTGATAGTTGACTTGAGCGTGAAACCCAAGAAGAACATATATTTAGCTGGAATTTTATTTACTTATTTTCTTATTTATAGTAACCAATGGGTACTCCTTCCTGTGCATTTTTTTAGCCTTTATTGAAATGTTTTGGTATGATGACAGGTAAGTGTGATGTAGAGTTTTAATTTAGAACAGAAGTCTGAGAAACACTAACACGAAATGTTGAGGTATGTTTATTGGGAAGATGGCCACTCATCCAACACATTGAGTGTATCTGGTCTGAGAGTAAATATGTTTTAAATCAGGGTGAAGTAATTGATCTCTGACATCAAAGATGTTTTGACAGCAATTCATTAGCTAAGAGTTGATCTACATAGATTATGTTGGTAATGAGGAAGAAAAATTAGCAAATTTGTAAATTAGGAT